ATGCTATCATTTTAGCTATGTGTAAGTATTTTTTCTACCCTACAACATGCTGAAATGAAACTAAAAAACGTCTAATCCCATTTAACAGAAGGTCAAAACCTAAGTATGAGCTTGTGTGATTCCACAGCCCAGCCTCTTTTTTTCACCATGTTACTTCTGATAATAACTAAAATATGTATGTGATTTACATTGAGAATGTTTTCATTTGTGGTATCTAATTTAACCTATCCAACATATCATAGCCCCATTTGAAATATGGGGAAACTGTGGTCTTCTGATTGTTACTCATCAAAGTTCATGCAGTAAATGACCGTCAAAACCAAACCCAGTGATTAGAACCATTATAGGTCTAAGGAAATTACTGTATGAATTACTGGCAGAAGGGTTAGTCTGATGAGGTAGCAGAAAATGTTAGTTCCTTGCCCTTTCAAGGCTTGAAAAATTAGCAGGTAAATCATATTGAAAGGTAAATCGTATAGCAATACAGGATTGTATACACAGCAGAGGCCTGTGTTTTGAGGCCAACAAAACTATTATAAGTATAAAAGTTAAACCACACGTTAGTATTTATAGATTCCAAGGAAAGCACAGTGGTAGCAGCTTTACCCAGTTTAGAACATCAGCCTTAACTCACTCGGTTCAACCTCCGTATGACCATTTGAGGTCAAGCTATTCCCAGTCTATACAGGTAAAACCTCAGTTTTCACCACGACCCATATCCTTGAAAACACATTATAAAGGCAGATCATGATAAGTGAATCACACACATCCTTAACAAAGACTGGGTACCAATCATACAAAAATCAAACTCCAAAATGCATTGTACAGCAGCACTAAAACTATACCATAATGAAAAATAATAAAAGCCCAGGCCAAGTCCTACAAAATCACCTAAAATATGCTTTTAGGGGCACTTGGGTGGCTCAGTCGGTTAAGCATCTGGCTCTTGATTTCCGCTCAGGTCACGATCTCACGGTTCATGAATTTGAGCCCCACGTTGGGCTCCATGCTACAGTGTCAAGCCTGCTTGGGATTCACTCTCTCCCCCCCACCTCGGCCCCTCTCCCGCTCATACTCTCCCTCAAAATAAATAAATAAACTTTGAAAAATAAAGTATGCTTTTATCACATAAAGGACAACCTACCATTAGGTATAATCACAGTAACATAAAGCACAACTCATAAGTTTGGCCTCAAATTCTTATGGCGAATACAATTATAGGGGCGCCTGGGTGGCGCAGTCGGTTAAGCGTCTGAC